GGACCGACGTCCAGCTATTCGTCTGTCCAACCTAGAGTCCGCTTTTAAGAGTGTAAGAGTGTGCAAACAGTTGGTAAAAAAGAATGAGTTATAGTTCGGTGGTAATAACAAAAATGAAAGCCGACACTCAAACACACACGATCCTATAAACCGAGACAAAATCGACTACATTAGCGATTGTTCCTTTTGTTGTGGAGGTGCCCGAATCGGCGCTAAGTGTTGCAGGGCTGGCGTGTGACACGTGTACACAGTTCCCTCCCACGCACTGTGTGTGTGTGTGTGTGTGTGTGTGTGTGTGTGTGTGTGTGTGTGTGTGTGTGTGTGTGTGTGTGTGTGTGTGTGTGCGAGGAAGTCCGTGGATTGGTTAATTTGGACAAATCAGCCTGGTCATAGCTCTGGGCGTGGCTACTAGGTATTCAGACGTCACAATGCCCAGGAAGAACATGAGAAATCTCCAACGAGGCGTTTTGGGAAGGTCTTTTCTGTGTTCGAGTTTTACAGGGTGTACTTTGAGGGTTTTTGACTCTGCAGACCGTTTACATGCACAAAAACACACAAGGGGACAGGTAATAACCGGAAAAGCATAACATGTGTCCTTTAAGTAATTTCTATCACCAGGACACTTCCTCTATTCATAACAAATATTATGGCAATTATGTTTTGTATATCCACTTTTCTAAAATGGTGTATTTGGTTATGCAAATGAGGCATAATGTCATGCTAACCTTTGGTGAATTTATGAGAAATGTAGTCGCAGATACAAATAGTAAAATAATCATTAGCATATTTTCTGGAGGTTTTCTTTCCCCATGTCTGAAATCAGAAAATACTGACTGAAATTTGTTTAGTGCATGATGAAACGCTGTTCTTGCTTGTAGTTTCTCACCTAAATCTGCTAGAGGCTACACATTGAATATGCCAATGCACCCACTCCCCTTCACATTATGAGAGTTCAGTCATTAAAATCCAAACGAAACAATGGGAAGGTGATCATTATACAACAGCCAAGCTATTTTTTTCGAGGTAATTTAAAGTTGAACACAAACAGCCTGAGTACAGCGTCAGAGTTCAAACTGCACATTCATTATCTTCCAAGTCTCAGCAGCAGAGAAAAACTGCTTGATGCATCACTGTTTAATTTCTCAACAGATTTCTGAGGCAGTCAGCTATGGCAGTTTGTCTTCAAAGGGCTTTAACTGCGTGTGTGTTAGTCACTCAATTAAACCCCTGTTGGAAAGGGAATTAAACTACAGGTCTGGGAACGTGACGCACTGTGAGGCTTGCTCACTCACACAAAATGAGTTTCTTTCGCAGTTGATTAAGGGCATCACAAAGCATGAGCAAGGCATACTGAAACATTTTACAAAAGGCTGTAACTCATCCTTCAGATGCTTTTCCATTGAAAAACACCAAGTGAAGTTGCTTCTCCATGTTGATAAATTGTGACTTGTTGCTCTTTTTTCCATTTATTTGGAGTTCAATCCTCTAAGGGCTCTTGCTCCTTTAACGCCTCCTCTCTCAAATGCCCAATTTGGTGGCCTCACTTATCTGGCAGCACAGAACTAGAACTTGAGTGAGGGAATTGTGCAGGGTTTAGGGGGGGACAAGACAAAACAAATCACTCCTAACAAATCCTCAGTCTGATTCTCAAGGGCCAGAGGGATCGTCTGAGTCCTGAGGGGAAATCAGAGAGTCATTTGGCCGAGTGTCTCCTTGCATTAGCGCCTGCATTGCTGGCCGAAGGGAGGCTCCGGGGCCAGACAGAGGGACCCAACGCAGCCCCGCTTCCTGTGTGCGGCGGGGCCAGGCGGGACAGGGTGTCTCTGCTGCCTCACTTTAAGCTGATCCTCCGTCTGTGGCCTGCACTTAACACTGCAGATAACACAGGCTTTATAGCACGGGGCTGGTGACAGACAGGAACAAACTGCCAGGCCGCTACTGAAGGCAGAGGAGAAGATTGGACCTGGGGTTCAGGGTGAAACACTTTCTAATGATGGGACCCCCAAAAGCAGCCGTACGCGTCCCATTGGGTAGTCTGACAGCCAGGGGGGGTTTGGTGGCACTATGGCTTCAGAGTACCCACTGAAGGAGATGATGAGGGCTATCAGACAGGCCGGCTAGGGAAGGTTCAGCTCTCTGGATGTCTGCAGGGTTCAAAGGACTAGAACTATATAGCGCCTCGTACAGTACATCCAAGAGAGAGCCGTAACACATCTGGCTTGTTTTTATTTTAACAATCAATTCAGGTCTTACTCTCAGAAAACATGTTGCTTATGATGGTTTTCATGTACGTAGTGTTGCCTTTTAGTCTGACGTCCATAACCATAAAGCCAATTTTAGCCATCGTATTTTGCAGATCCAAAATAAAAGAATGGAGAAAAATCACAATGGGAAATATAACATATGCAGCTCATTTGAAGGAATGGTCATTCGTACATCAATTACTTTTTCCAGTGTTTCCTTCGAATAATGGCGGGAAATTTTTTTTTTTATACCCATGTATTCACGATGAACGAAAGACCAAAACACATATAAAAGTAAAGTAAAGGAATTAAAGTAAAACTTCATCAAAATGTCCATTCAACAACTCACATAAGGTGTGCGGTATAACTTCACAAAGAAAATGCATTTTTGCTCAAACCTTAGTTGTGTGAGAGGGAACAGATGTTTTAGTGTTGCTGTTTTTAAACGATTCCCACTAAAATTCATCAAAACTTTTCAATTTCTGAATTCTTTGTAGGAACAAGAGAAGATCAAAATGTCCTTCATAAATTCAAGAGAACACTGGGTGAGTAAGTGATGTAAAAACGTTCATATTGGGGTGAAGTATTCCTGTAATTAAATATCGGGTTGTTTGTGTCTGCAGTTTGACACAACATGAAGTCTATATCAGAACCCAAAATATGTGATTTTACACATACAGTATATCACATATATTAGGAAATCAACATTTAGCTCAACAAGTTCTGATAACAGACTCAAGAGACTGAAAGTATAACAACAAATGTTAACTCAAATTGTCTCAGATTTATTATTGATACAGTAATAAAGTATATTGCACAGGAAGTCCTGACCACCCTTGACAGCCCCCTCAGAAAAGCAAAGAATAAAATAAAAACAATAAGCATAGGGTGCCTGTGTTTACAATTGTAAAATGACTCTAAATTCACTCCATACTTTGTTGTTTTTTTTACCCCTAAATGAAGAATACACTCCTTGGTATAAAATCTGTTCCGTTATTTATTGGAAAATAATTACAGAGCACACTGAATAACTTTACGGTGTGGGTCATAACGTGATAATACACTTTTCTAGATGGCAACCGCTGTATTGGTGAAGCAAAGGACCCCCTGCCAAGTTTGATCATACATTTGCTAAAGCATCCCCCCAAAGTTTACTGAAAAAACACAACTGCCTTTAAAATGTAATAGGCATACATCCCAAACACTTGTCATGAGCATTGCCTGACCGGAGGTAAGTGAGTGACTGAGGATATTAGTTGTGCAGGTATTTTATTTTTGACCGATGTCCACATTATCAGTTAATATTTACTTCCTGTTAAATTCCTGAAGAGTTCTTGACTGAAAATACCACACCCATAATCTTCAAACGCAACAAGGACCCAAATCCTTAAAATAAGTTGACTTCCACACCACACATTTAAAAATAAAATATAATCAGTTTTGCCATCAGGTGTTACATTAACACCAGTTAGCCTCCCTGTGCTTTTACTGCATTAGCTGTTGTATAGTCCAAGTATCTGGGGTACTCAGGAATATCCAGTGTGGGATATGTCCATGAGCAGTTTACAGGGCATAAGACTGAGTCACATTGGCACCACCGGTCTATAAATACAATTCAGACCGGGTTTGGGCAGGCAAACGTCTCAAACTAGGCAAAAAGCAGCATCGACATGTCTCCTCTCTGTAAGGCCTGACATGCCACGGTTGGCTTTAGTGCAGTTATCTGGTGACTTTGACCTGCTTTAAGATTGTTTACACTGCTTTACATGAAATACACTGATTTGTAAACATTTACCGTGGAGGTCAGTGTTATCCAATCCTGATGTTTGGGACCAAACAGGCTGCAGGGTTTCATTCTGACCAGCTATCAGAGGCTGACTACAGATTACATGTAACCCTCAGAGCAAGCAGAAAACACAGGTTCAAGAACAGCATGACTGAAGGGCACTGTGTGTGGTAACAGTTCCGATTCACTCCAAAAATAAACTGGCAGCATAAATGTTACTATTTTGCCTATATATTCATAGTCACCAAGTCATTCATTTCAATGCATGCTGTACTGTTTATTTTTCCTTATTTATAAGATTCAAAAGGATGAGTCTGGTGATATTCTTTATCTTTCAACACACAAAAAGGCCAAAACCAACAATTAATTATGTAAACTTTTTGTGTAAAATTACTTTCCAAAGGCTGATAGATTTTCCATAGAAATTAACATGGCCAGTTAACTTTGTCAATCTTAAATACACCCTTCTGATGCCTTAGTACTTGCAAGGGCACCAAATCCTCAACTTAAAGGAGTCCTTACATTTTGTTATTTACAACTGTTTGAGTACAACTGTTAAAACAACATTACCCAGCTGCTTGAGGAAATACATTAATTCCAAGTTGGTGCCTTTGAGTAAAAAACAAGCAGCACATGTGGCAGGGTGGAGTTGAAACACGTCGTACACTTAGGGCGTAAGGATTGATTCGTTTGGTCTTTTTATGGGATTTGTACCTACATCAAAAACATAGAATATCACCAACCTTATCCTTTAGTGAATCAAGATAAAAGCTTTAAAAGAAGACCACCACCAACAATCCTGTGTTTTCAAAGTTTTGATCTAAAATGTATAATTAGAATAAAACACACAATGTGAATAAACATCCCAAACTTAAGCTTTTCCGAGTCAATAAGCCCTTTTTGTGTCGATATCATCCGCTTGGGTTTAGCTAGGCTCATCATCGTATACTAACACATGTGCACCACTGTACTGTGATTAAACAGGTCAAGAGCAGAGGATTGTTTATAAGAGGGACAACTACATTATGCATATTGGTGATCGTCTCCCTCCAAACAAAAGAAAAACAGAAGCAGGTGGGCTAGGATTATGTGTAGACGGGACCACATGCTTACACACATACACAGTATATATTTGCATCATGATTCCCTTCTACATTTGGCACTGAAAAACAAACTGCAGGGTGAGTCACACTCTTCCACATTTCTTGGAAGAATGGCCACTAATGCAAACTTCCCTGTGTAAAGGCTTTTTTTTTTGTCTGGGGGAAAGAGGATGCCTAATGTTTGAAAAGTCTTAGAGACTCAATGATACATGCTATCGAGGGAGGTAGATGGACTTGATTGTTTTACAAGGCAGATAGAGGGCTTGCTTCAGATGCCCTGAAATCACCTTTGAGACAATTAAAGCAGAAAGGTTCGTTATGACCAAGCTTCAAGGTGTACAAGCTCATCACCATCTTAGTCTCTTTATATGTGGAGCAGAAGGTTCCCCTTTTTGTCTCCTAGGGGAGATCTTTTAACATCAGGACGACAACCTCAACCAAGAGGTGAGCTGTGAAGTTCTTGTCACTTCCTGTGCTCAGGATTAGAAGTCTAGGATTATCATAGGCTGATTGGATTTCTAGAGAAGCTAGAAAGAAGACAAACACAGGTGACAAGAATTCCTATCACACCTAACCAGTCTCTCAAAGGTTCAAAATATCCTTTGCCCGCTCACGGTGTCAAATGTATCTCAAGCAGAATAGTTTGGTCAGTCAAGAGCTTTTCACTTGGAGAATGGGGGAAATTCATCCCATACAGATTCAAATTCTACAAAAAACAGTCCGTCGGAGCTCAGGTGATTAGGAAGATAAAAGCTCAAGAGTCCGGAAACACAGTCCTGGTTCTGCTTCACATTCAGGCGGTGTCAGCCGTGGGAGGAGAGGATGGGCCTGCTGATGTTGCTGTTGGTCGTCATGGCAGCCAGTTCCCACCTGGAGAGAACAACAGGAACACTCAGAGGTGAGAAGCTACCTCCACATACTGGGTCTAGAGCTCATTCAGATGGCAGTGGCATTATCAAACCCTTACTGTGATATATCAACATGTACTATTGTTGATGAAACACACCCAAATGTAGTCAAATAAATACTTTACCAATATATCTTGTAGTGTTTATGAACAAAAAAGCAGAGACAAAGTAGCATAGCATCTTTGTATTTTCTTTTTTTGGCAATGACAACAGGGTTTGGAATGAGGTGGCATTCTTGCTTGATTGAAATGTCCAAAATCTGATAACTGAAACATATTAAAAGTTTCCTTTTAATAAGATAGTAATAAAATGCCAAGACGTTTAATTAACTACATCTTGACTTTAAAAAAATGGATGAGGTGGTTTAAATATGTTAAAAACTAACAAGGACATTTGACACATGACTTGTATAAAGAAACATTGTTGGTTTTAGTTGTGGTCTAGTTTCTCTTCATCAGTCTATACTGTAGAAACATACACATAGAAACATGCATTTTGGATTGTAATATTGCAATAGGATAGTTATTGAGTAGTCTATGTGGGTTATTGTGTGCTGTTGTCTTTATTGGGGGGATGCTAAAACAGAAGGGCTCGGAGGCAAACACAACACATATTTGAGTCCTTTCCACTTTCTAATGGATCAGGAACAATTATAACACTTGTGCTAAAGTGCATACCTGTAACTATGGTGACCAAATGATCTTGCATAAAAAAAAGCTATTTTTATTCAGATCAGGGAATTGCAGGTTCATTTGTGAAAGCACCCTCAAGTATTCAGGAAGGCTAAAGGCTCCAGTATACTCCAAACTAATCTCACTCATATGGATTGCTGTCGATAATGACACAGGTTTTTATAAACATTAATGTTGGAGTGTTTAGTCCTCGTCCATCCTGAGGCTTATATTAACTTCAACCATCAATGACAGTCAATCAAGCAACAGTGTGAAATTTGCTCTCCCCCCCCCGCCCCCCGTTTGTTGGAGTGAAGGGCTACGATGTGGACGTGGATGAGGGAAGGGCCCGCGGTAACACGAGAGCAGGGAGCAGGGGCCGAAAGCAGGGTCTACTGCTGACCTGCTGACAGGTCAGAGGTTGAGCTGCAGATTGTTATCACTGGCTCTGGTTTCACACTCACTCCCTCTCAATTGCTTTGTTCGTTTTTGTTTTGTGCGCGTGTGTGTTTGAGAGGGGAGATTGGCACTGGAGCTGGAGATGCCAGCGAGGGGCAAAGGGAGTTAACCAGAGTCCTGTGACCCCACAGAAAAACTCTCTACGGGTTACAAACACAACTGCAAAGAGGGGAGTGTGCAAGGTGGCAGTGACAGAGAGAGGGATGAGGAGCTAAGAGGAGGAATTAGTATCAAGTTCCATGGGGTTCATGTAGAAGAAAAGCTCAAATGGTTCAGATGCATGTCTAATAAGTCTGTAGATTAAGGTTATTAAGTTGCATACAATGGAATGATTGTGTGAGTATCAAGAGACATTTTACTGATGTAAATAAAGGAAATTGAAGAGATAAACATGTTTTCTGTGATTATAGTCACAGTCAGTCGCAAACTTCTGAGTCTCTCTCGCAGGTTATGTGTCAAATAAATCTAACATGTCAATGTGAGTGGAAAATGATATATTATTAAATGGTAATACTTGTTTCTTTGGGCAGAAATGTTTATCTTATTCTTTTTTATTTTACACCTGCTTTTCAGTTGCAAGCAGGTACGAAATTTGCTTAATTTAATATTTTGTTAAGTGAGAAAAACACAAATCGAGTCAAAAACCAAAAGGTTGCTTACCATTTTGAAACCACATTAGGTGACAAACATTTTGTCAGCTGGATTTGGGATATTAGGATGGACAAAAAGGTTTTTCCTTTAACATTTAAGGTCATTAATGTCAGATTCTTTTATACATGCTATTAGTTGGAGGAAGATATAATAATATACAAATTGTACACTTAGGGACTTGAAGTAAAGTCAGACAAAAGCCTGAGTAAAAGTTACCACTGGGTAAATGAAGCATAATGAGTCATAATTTGCCTCTATGAAAAACAGCCTCATTATTTAGAGAAACAGATGGGGGGCAAAAAAGGATGGGCATATAATACAAACAGCATGGATAACAATAAGTCAGTTCTGTGACCAAATGGCGCTAATGTTAGAGAAGAGGATGCTCTGCTGACCTGATATCATGTGGGAGTCCTGAATGCTCCAGACTGTACTGAATAACAGCTATTTTGCATAACGTCTTCAAATTGGGTTCTGAAAAGAAAAGAGAGCATGAGTCATGGACTGATCACAGACACTAATCATATTCAGAATATACATTTGAGCTGTGGGAATTCAAAATGGATCAAGGCAGGTCAGATCTAAGAACATGGAGATGAAAGGGCTTTGATTTCCTCTCCGTGGTGTAAAGATTACCATGTTCCTGTTTCTACCATACCCCAGAAAAACAGCTGAAACAGACAATGCCGTTTGATAAGGACATTAATGCCGGTATTAAAGCATCATATTACAAACTTCCTCTTGGTTATTATCAGCGTCATGGCTGCTCCACCATATGTTCAGTGGTAAAGTGTGAAGGCACACGCGACTGGCACGTGGAGGCGTGTGCCACAGGGGATGCCACCGGGTACTGCCAGCCCCAACCGGGCCCTGTGTAAACCCACCTACACACACTGTGTCACCACAGCATCACAGGCTACCCCAGTGCAGACAGGAAATGGCTATATTTGGTAGTGCAGGAGACGGAAGTGGCCCATGAGATAACAGGCAGGGCCAAGGCCAGGCATACAGGGCTGGGTGAGAAATGAAGCAGTGATGTAACAAGGTTCTAAAACGTGTGGAGGAAAGTGGAGGATAGCTTATTTACTGACTATTCCATATTGCTGAAAATACTTTATCAACAATAGCAATCTGGGTTCGCTTGAGTATTTGCATCTGTAAGATTACACACCTTCTTAAAAGGCTAACTTGTGTTTCAACCAATTTTCTATATTTTTATGTCAAAGTGAGAACCACTTTTGAAGTGTGTATTTAAGAAAACACTGCAAATGACTTCTGCAAAACTGTCTGCAAAATGATCAATTAAGGCAATTCCACACCATTCATTTGAAGTGCTTGTTTTTGCTACCGACAGGCTTAGATTGGTGAAATAAGTGTATGACAACGTTATGAAAGGGACTCTACAGACAATAAAAATGTTTTCCTTAACCTTTAGCTTGATCAGGTTTGTTTGTTTTTGTGTAATGTGACTTGTTCCCACAAGATAACAGAGGAAACGAGAGTGAAGATTGGAGAGAAGAGTGTTGGTGTGATGGAGTTAGATGTGTTGGAGCATAGTTTAGTTTCATGAAAAGGACCAATTCCCAAAAATGTTGTCCTCATTAGTCACGTTGGCATACAAAAAACCAGGTAGAAAAAAGGGGGAGTTACCCTTTGAATTAGCTGAAAATACTTACAATACCTACTTGGGGGTGTTTAAAGGGATGTATCAATCAGATCTGAAAGTTTACACACAATAAGCCAAGAAGACAGATATGGATAATGGCGAGGATACTTACTGAAGTCTAAGATATACAGGTCTGAATGATCCATGAGGTTAAATTCATCCCCCATTCCTTGCTCTGGACAGGGGCTGTAAAGACAATAAAGAATAGTTGTTTTAATTTACAAGTCGTCAAAGCTTTAAACCTGTCCAAGAGGACAACAGTAACTCTTAAACTTCCTGTCTGTTATCATGAGCCCGAGCCACACAACTTGCCAAGGTTGTATTAGCTACTTAAGTGTTTAATGGGGCAACTTTATTGCTTTTTCACCTCAAATCATTCCGTGAATTCCCAATATTTAGTTACCAGCAGACTCCCAATGTCATCCACCCACATAAGATTTTGATCACAGCGTTTCATAATCAGGGAGCCACAGATTATTCTCAATGCTGTTAACACAGTGCTCTGCTCTTCTTTATCATGGGCTGGTATGATTTAAGCCCACAGGAAGTGGAGCGCTGCAGTGAGACGGCAGGCTGGCCCGCGCTGATAGTCCCTCAGACCTGTGCAGCCGTTGATATCACTACACATCTGTTTCCTGCCAGAGCTAATCACACACACACCTGCCACACACCTGGTGCACCACAGCTATAGCTGTGTCACAACTCTCTTTTTAAACTATTTTAGTTAGGACTAATCAATTAACTGAAATGCAAGGGTAAGTATTTGGGAGCATACTGTATGAAAAAAGCTGAAATGGAGCAAAATGCTAAGGAGGATTTATCCCCACATCCAGTACATTACATTGCTTCATCATATATCCACAGTGCTCAAGAGACATTTCTAGATTAGTGGATAAAAAAGCACTTTAGAGTTTTACACTACCCAAAGGACAGCTTCTTCCAGACAGGTGCCTTCACCAAGCAGGTTATAAATATCTATCATGGAGAATGGAATTTGGTTGCAGGGTTTGGTGTTTAACAAAAGCTTTGCAAGATGCTTTCTGCTACGCATGGATCGGCTAATGACACAGCTAGAGTACTGTTGAAGCAATGGAGCAGAAAATACTTGTTTTTAATAGCTTGGGATACAATCTTTGAAACTTCCCCTTTACTTCAATCTCTTTCCATTTCTCACTCTTGCCCCAAACTATTCTCTTGTTGAACACAAAGTACTTTCTCCTCCAGTGACTCCCCGCTCATCAATCTCTATTCCTCTCTCCCGCTGTCTTCTCCATCGCGTCTCCCTTTGCTGCGTGTTCAGGATGTTGTAAGGGTTTTACGTTGCTAATCTTCCCTAAACAAACATAGTAGTGGCTTAAAGCGGCCAGGAGAGGTGCGGAGCACGAGCGCAGTCGTCCCAGGGGGCCAGCTGGGGAAGTCATTACGCCCCCAGCCCCCCAGGAGGTGATCCACCCGGGCTTAAAGCATGGGTCTTTATCAGAAAACCCTCAACCACCTTCCCATCATCATTGGTCACTGTCCACTCCTGGACCTGCCGTTAATTAGTGTGCTGATTCAAATGGTAGTTTCCAATTCTAATTACTAAACCAAGAGAATGAGCACTAATGTACCTCACAATCAAACTGCAGCTATAAGAACAATTGATAGATTGCTACAAAAGCCTTGTATTTATTCAACTTAATTAAACGTTTATTAAATGTTAATAAACCATCTTTGTGAATTAAGTCTGAAATGTCATGAGGAAAAATGTAAAAGAAAATAATTTCCCAAATTGGGATCAATAAAGTAAACATCTATCTATCTATCTATCTATCTATCTATCACACACCAAGTAAACAGTTGCCTGATAGATGCCATCATTATGCATTAATGGCCACCAATTGCCATATATGTCATAATTGGCTCCTTTTAGACCTTTTCAACTGCTCTCAAATTCATCTTGTTGAATGTTATGACCTTACTATTTTTGTATGAAATGGGTTTTACATTTGGTCCAAATCCCAAATATTCACTGCCTCATTGTGAAAAGTCAAAGATTGCCACCTCATTTAAAAAAGGAAATATGTATTGGTTGCATTAGACTCTGCATAACTGGAACTGACAACAGCAGGCTGTCCCCTTAACAGGAGTAATGAAAAGTAACATCTCTATCTAAAGAGCCCACTGTAGTAGCTGTCAACTACTGTGCGAGGGTGCAGGGCTTGGATGCTGACGCGTGAAAAGGTGCAGATAAGAGGACGCTTGAGTAGAGAGCAACAAGGGAGATCAAGATTGCATTCCCCTTGGAAGAAGCTTTCTCGCATGCTCATGGATGATGTCGGCCTGGGTGTGAAATTTGGCAGAACATTAGGGAATGTTAATGCTTTATTGGTCACCGCAAAAAAAAAGGAAGAGCCTGGATCATAGAGGCAGAGGAAAGGGAGGGAAAAGAGGTGTCTGATGAACTGGTGTTTGGAAGCGGGAAAGTCACAATGTACGACTTTATGTGGCATCCTGGTGTTTCACGGCTCACTTTGTTACTCGATCAGCAAAGTATCGCTATGTGTGAAAGTGCTCCTCCCCCTACCGTGGTTTCCAGTCTGAATGAGGCCTGAGTGATGCCGCTCCCCCGCTAAGAAAAACACTGGTTGCTATTTCAAACAACACTCAATGAGGGTGTCTAATCACCCAATTGCTAGTCTTTTCTAGCAATGCACTGCCTGCTCCACCTCATTATCTCCTCAACCTAAGTCTCAAAACGGTAGAATAAAGAGCTCAACTACAGTCCTAAAACTAATGAAGGAACAACACAGATCCTGGGAACACTCCACGTTGTCTCAAGTGTCCAGGAATTTAATTGCCTACAAATTCAGCAACAAGAAAAAGATTGAGGGTTCAGCAACACCAAGGCTAAACACTATATCTGGAAACCGTCCTGTCGTAGGAGTGTTTTCAGTGGCTCCATTGGTCATATCCTCATTCTTTACGTGCATCCCTTTCCTACCTAACTCTGGTCCCTCAGAAGCATCAGCTAACAGGAACTCATCGGACACTACAACTTCCTGCAGAGCACCTTATCAGGAACACCAGACATCAAATCTAATTATTTCAGCACCACTTTGGTTCTGAGTGAAAACATTGGGAACAGGAAGTGAAATGGCAGGAAACTAAAAAAACAGCTATTTGTAAATGACCAAATAAATCAAATATAAAGAATATTATAAGATTGTGGCTAGTCTGTTGCAACACTGTTCTGATATTGTAGGAGGAATACATATCTCTTTTCAAAAGGGTTAGAGCATTCATTTAAAGATATAGCTATGTGCCTAATAACACACTACCAAGCTGTTATTAGAAAGTGTTTAATGATACAGTGCAAGTCGCCAAGATTATTTGGTAATCATTTTTCCTTAAAAGTGTTAGTCAAAGTATTTTTATTAAATAATTACTGATAGTATCTGATGGGCGTTTGCTAGACTGTGAAGAATCGAAACAGACCTCGCCACAGTTTGGGAATGAAACTTTCGTAAACGTATCCAATAGACTTGGTTATCACGATCGATAGATTCCCGTCCATTTCTCCTGCCTTAATCTCGACTGTCTCACCTCGTCTTACCGAGTTATCTGTGCCCCCTCCCGGGCAGTGGCTGGACAGTGGATTAAGAGCTGCAGTTGCCCAGACCTAAGCCCCATGCAGAGGGTGAGACACAAACTACAGCTGGCTCCCAGAGGGAGACGCCTGGCTTCAGATTAGACAGAGGAGATGCCAGCCGCTGGTGAAGCATCTCAAAGGGCAGCCCCTGTAGACTAAATGTATTTGGACTTGGTGGTGGTATTGGATAGGAAAGTCTGATCCTGTAAATCTCAAGCAAATGTAGTCCCTTTTATCAGAACAGGTTGTTATCAACCTAGCTGCCTATAAAAATAAGGGAGAGGACATTTATTTTTGCAGGACCTTGAACACAGCTGGTTAATATACAGGGGAAACTTGAAAGCTTTTCTATAGCTGGGGGATTCATTTCGGGAAAACAAGGTACTTCCTCTATAGCCCCCATCCTCACCTGCAGCTTAAGACTACAGTCAAGGTCAGCCACGTAATAGCAGACACTCACAATAGGAAATACTCACAGTAAATGTACACTACAAACCACAGTTTTAGTACTGTTCCATCAGAGTAGCTCAGTAGTAAGCTACTCCAGGCCAGTGGTTATCTCTTTATATCCTGCTCTTTTACAAGTGTTTCTTGTCATGTTAGTTGATATATTGTCTCTCACTAACAAAAGGCTTTCAAAAAAGTATATTCCACTGCCAAGAAGGGTTGTTTAAACATGACTTGCCAAGTGTGAACGATAGCCTCCTATTCTGTAGGTGGGTGTCGTTTTTTACTTTGTCTACACAGCATGGCATTGTTCCACAGAGGGGACCTAAAACCACCATGAGACGTTTTATTTGCGATGACTGTAGTAAATCACATGTCAAACTACTACTATTTAGACATTTGAATGAATGTGGACAGCAGCCACACAAAGCGGCACCTATGCAGGCTGTTTATTTGAGCTGCAGTGTAACACTCAACCCTATGACACCTCAACGTATACAGGCTGTTAGTGGGTTAAAGAGGGTTAAGATGCAGATGAAATACTATCATGAGCTTGTCTTTGAAGAGTAAATCACAGTGTTGCTGCGCTGCCCAAAAGTCCTGTCCCGACACGTGCGGGATGCCCTGTATCCTGTTGGGGTCACCTCCACTGTTTGACAGGTTTTATCTCGAGCACCGAGCGCAAACACACACTTGCATACAGACAATTAATAAAGGAAACTTCTGCAGCCTAGCCTTTGACACTAAAGGCCAAACGGCAAGATGTGTGTGGCATCATAATCTATGGTGTGTTGATAGCCGTGTGTCCATGGAGCCGGCTTCCATTGTAGCAGATCTGAAGACGATATAGGGCGCAGGAAGAGCAGCCATAATGATATTTATATCGAGAATGAATGAAAATCCGAAACAGGGGTTTTTGTGCAATGTCTTGCATGAAAATAACGTGTTTCAGAATGAGCCCTGCCTCAGTGCCATGTTGTGTTGAGTCTAACATTTGAACCTTCAGGTTCAACAATGATAACAAGCCACACTTTAACCGGCTGGACTATCATAACACCAGCCCTTTCAGTCATTGATAAGGTGCAAAATAGCCATGCATGTGATATCG